AAATCGATCATGGACCTTCTGCCTAGGGTGCTCTGGTACCACGTACACTTATGAGCATCCTTATGTTCGAACATGGTGTTTGTTATGGCCAATCCATGACTAGCACAGAAGTCCAGTAACAAACCACCACTCCGGTTCAGATCAGGGGGGCCGTTCCTCCCAATCACGCCCCTCCAAGTGTCTCCATCATTGCCCACATGTGCGTTGAAGTCTCCCAGCAAGATTAAAGAGTCCCCTTCAGGAGCCCCATACAGGACTCTTTCCAGGGTCTCCAAGAAGGCCGTATACTCTGAACTGCTGTTGGGTGCATAAGCACACACAACAGTCAGAGTTTTCCCCCCCATAACCCGCAGGCGTAGGGAGGCGACCCTCTCGTCCACTGGGGTAAACTCCAACAAAGAAGCACCTAACCGGGGACTTGTGAGTATCCCCACACCCGCCCGGCGCCTCACACCTTGAGCAACTCCGGAGAAGAATAGAGTCCAACCCCTATCCAGAAGTAAGGTTCCAGAGCCGACGCTGTGCGTAGAGGTGAGCCCAACCAGATCCAACTGGTAACGCTCCACCTCCCGCACAAGCTCCGGCTCCTTCCCCCCCAGAGAGGTGACGTTCCACGTCCCCAAAGCCAGCTTCTGTCGCCCGGGTCTGGTCCGTCGAGACCCTCCGCTTTCACTGCCACCCTTCTGGCAGCGCACCCGACCCCATTGATGTTTCCCGTAGGTGGTGGGCCCGCGGGACGGAGAAGCGGAGGTGTTGCCCACGTTGCCTTTTCGGGCTGGGCCCGGCCGGGCTCCGTGGCAAGCCCGGCCACCAGACGCTCGCCGACGAGTCCTCCTTCTGGGCCTGGCTCCAGAAGGGGACCCCGGGCTTCCTCCGGGCCGGGTATCCTCACTTCTTGTATCGTCTTTCATGAGGTCTTTTGAACCAATCTTAGTCTGGCCCCTTGCCTGAGACCAATTTGCCATGGGAAACCCTACCAGGAACACAAGGTTCCAGACAACACAGCCCCCAGGTTCATCAGGGCACACAAACCTCTCTACCACGGTAAGGTGCTGGTTCTTCAGAGAGGCATTAAAGGGGACCTATCATGCAAAATGCACTTTTGTACGTCTTTTATACATGAATATGTGTCCCCGGTGTTCCAGGGAACTCACCAAGTGCCAGAAAACACAACCCTCTCTCTTTTCCTCCATACCCAAATCTCTTAAAAAGGGGCTGCAATGGATCTGATACAGACTGATACAGATTTGAACACTTCTATGATGTCACAGAAGTGGAGCTACGGCTATTGGGCCAACTCCACCAATCAGGAGGAGACAGCCACGGACATTGCCGTTCGAAAGCGCTGGAGACGCTGTAGTACATATGCCAGGCCTGTAGATGGTGCTGTTCTCACAGAATCAGCCCATGCAAAGACAGTGTTAAATTGAGCGAAATGAGGAATGGCTAAAATGCATGATGTGTTTGGTATTTTGAAAAATAAAAAGTATAAATATGCCTTACACTATATTATTCAAATATAGCATGATAGGTCCACTTTAAAAATTGCACGATTCCCCTCGTATTGCACGGAAGGCTTATATAATTTAAATATCAGCAGCGTTTAGTGCACATATGGCCCTGGGGAAAAAAACTGAATTTGAGTCTGTTTGTCCGGGAAGACATGGTACAGAAGAGCCTGCCTGAGCGCAACCGTACAAAGTGCTTGTTACCCGGGTGGTGTGGATCCTTGAGGATTTTGACTGCCTTCTTAAGGCAACGAGAGCTGTACAGAACCTCCAGGGAGGGGAGGGGGCAACCGATGATCTTCTGGGCCGAGTTGATGACCCTTTGGAGCGCACCCCTCTCTGCGGCTGTGCAGCTGAGGAACCACATGCAGATGCAGTAGGTGAGGATGCTTTCCACGGCGCAGCGATAGAACAGGGTTCCTGCAGGTTTCGCCTACTCAAATATAAGACTTTTTAAGACCACTTTGAATAGAATTTAAAACCTATTTCACGGCAAGAAAGTATGAAGGAAAATTGCTATGAAAGAAGAAATACGTCCCATAATTACTTATAAAGTAAATGTATTCGTGTTCAACATAAGAACAATTACTGAACATAACAGTACAGAACTGTGTTAGCGTGTTAGACAAAAAGTGTGTGTGTGTGTGTGTGTGTGTGTGTGTGAGGGCTGTGCAATTAAATCGTATTTTAATCGCAATTACGATTTTAGCCTGCCACAATTACGAAAACAACATAATCGAAAAAAACAGAATTTAGCTTTGCTAGGTTGTGACAGTGCACAACAACATATTTGATCTAATTAATTTTAGTCTAATTAATTTGTATTCATCATATTTATATATGTTTAATAGCTTGTGGAAGTGCGCTCCACAATATGTGTTGATCTTGTGGTATTTATTATTTTGATAATATTTATTTAAATGTATAATTCATTTAATTTAGTATTGTTTTTTCAGTTGAATTATACGTTCAGGGTGATCCACAGTTAAAAAGATACTGTTCAAATCATTATTTGTTTTAAAGTTCAATAAATGGATGTTTTCAAAGTCAATAAATAATCGTATTTAATAATCGTGATATCAATTATTGACCAAAATAATCGTGATTATGATTTTTGCCATAATCGAGCAGCCCTAGTGTGTGTGTGTGTGTGTGTGTGTGTGTCTTTCATCGTTGCTGTTGTATGATTGGTGTTTAGCTACGGTATTTAGCGTCTACAGCAACTCCGCTTTTAGGGTTGACGTAGACCCAAACCTCATCCCGAGGGCCCCCCGGTGTTGTTGCGGGAGCAGCTACACTAGCTAACGCTACATTAGCAAAACAAACGCTAATTTATTTTTGCAAAAGGTGCAGCGGGCTTCAAACACGTTCCCCTCAACTGGTTTCAACCAAGCACTAAATTAGAGGTTTTCCAACCAGATACGGTTGAACTTACTTACACTTCCCCATACTTATTTGTAAGGGGAAGGGGGAAACAAAGTTAGTGATTACTGGTTCCATGTTGATTTATTTCAATACAAATTGTTGGGGGGAGAACTGAAAGGCTCTTACCGTACTGGTTACTTTGCAGCCCGGACATTTCCACCAAAACACATTTAGACGCGATCTCAACACAGAAGTACCTTTCAAATCCCATCATATTCAAGACCTTTCTTGTTTTTTTGGTCATATTTAAGACCTTTTTAAGGCCTTAAATTCAGATTATCAAATGTAAGACATTTTAAGACTCCGCGGGAACCCTGTAGAAGGACACAAGCAGGTCCTGTCTAAGGAAGTAGAGTCTCTGCTGTGCCTTCTTGACGGTTGCCGTGGTGTTGGTCCTCCAGGACAAGTCCTCCGCCAGGTGAACGCCCAGGAATTTGATCACTGAGACTCTCTCCACACAGCCTCCACGGTGGTATCATCAGCTAACTTTATGATGGAGTTGCTGGTGTGGGCGGGGACGAGATCATAGGTGTAGAGGGCGTATAGTAGGGGGCTCAGCACGCAGCCCTGTGGTGACCCGGTGCTGAGACTGAGGGACGTGGAGGTGTGGGTACCTATCCTCACTCTCTGGGGCGCTCAGACAGGAAGTCCTTAATCCATAGACACAAGGAATGGGATACTCCCAGGACTGATAGCTTGGTCACCAGTCTGTCAGGGAGGATGGTATTAAATGCCGAGCTGAAGTCCACGAAGAGCATCCGTGCGTAGCTCCCCCTACTCTCCAGGTGAGACAGGGTAGAATGGAGAGCTGTGGCGATTGCGTCCTCCGTGGACCTGTTGGTCCTGTAGGCGAACTGGTGGGGGTCCAGACCGGGAAGGAGGGATGAGACGATGTGGGGACGGACCACCTTCTCAAAAACTTTAGCGGGGGTGGAGGTAAGTGCCACTGGACGGTTGTCATTTAGGCAGCCGATGTTGTTCTTTTTCGGCACTGGGATGATTGTGGATGTTTTCAGGCAGGATGGGACGATGGCCTGGGACAGAGACTGGTTGAAGATCTTGGTGAAGATCCCCGCCAGCTGGCCAGCGCAGTCTTTCAGCACCCGTCCCAAGACTCCGTCCGGCCCCGCTGCTTACCTCGGGTTCACTGCCTTCAGTGTGCGTCTCACCTCGTGCTCCGTGAGGATGAGGCTGCTGAAGGCAGGTGGGTGTAATGATGTGGCTGCTTCCGATAGCCCCGTCTCGTAGCGGGCGTAGAAGGAGTTCAGCTCCCCCGCCAGCTGAGGGTCACCCCCGTCGGTCGAGGGGTGGCTGGGTTTGTAGTTGGTCATCTGCTGGACCCCCTGCCACACCCGCCTGGAGTCGTTGCCCCGGAAGCAGTCCTCAATCTTCCCCTTGTAGTCCATCTCGGCCCGCTTGATCCCTCGCTTCAGGTGGGCTCTGGCAGTGCTGTACAGCTCCCTCTCACCAGTCCTGAAGGCGATGTCCCTCTCCCTGACCAGGCGCTGCACCTCTCCAGTCATCCACGGCTTCTTGTTGGGATGAACCCGGATGCGCTTATCCACAGTGACGGAGTCTGAACAGTGCTTGATGTATCCCAGGACCGCTGATGTGTACTGTTCCAGGTCCTCATGCACGAAAAAACCCCAGTCGGTGCTCTCAAAACAGTCTTGCAGCTGTGGAGTGGCGTCTAAAGGCCAGGTTTTAATTGTCTTTATAGTGGTGGAAACACTTTTCGCTAGTGCTTTAGCTCTGTAGCCCCCTTTAATATTATTGTAGACCTTGTCCAGTGTTTTAACCCCCCTCGTGGCACATTGAACATGCTGGTAGAGTCTGGGAAGCACTACCTTTAAGTTGGCATGGTTAAAGTCCCCTGCAATGATGTGGACAGCCTCAGGATTAGGGCTGTGCAATTTAATCGATCCTGCGATATATATCGACATTTAGTTTTCCGAGAAAGTATCGATATTTCATCCGCGGGTATCGATACATTAAGTCTGATAACTGTGTTCGTTATTCTCGCGTCCAGGAGAGAAGCTTTAAAAAGGAGACTAATTGAGTCTCTGAGAAGGTTCAAATGTATACTTTAATTAATAAAAAGCGCGGTAATGTTACAAGCAGAAGATGGTTCAGTCAGAAAAACAGCTGTGTTCTGGCTCTTGTGAGAGAAGGGAAGAGAGCGAGCTCCACCTTTCCAGCTGTTAAATATCCTCTGCTGGCTCCTCCCTGTGGGCTGGTTGGTGCTGCTGGGGGCCGGCCCTCCACGTCTCCAATGTTTGTTGTTGAGCATAACAGAGGATTCAGACATTGTACATTAAATATATAACTAAACACGCCTTTTCTCCTCCTTATCTCTTTCATGACTTTTAATTTAATACATTTTAAACGCTGTAATCAATACTCCAAAAATACCTGACGGCTGGTATCATTTCCGGTAGTTTCGAATGTTGTCTCATGCTACCTGTAAAGGAATATTTTAGTCTTGTTAAAGTATATAGAGTTTAGTGACTTGTCCTCGGGAATCTGTTTAATGGTTAAAGTGTATTCCTGCCTGTAATGTGATCCATAGCTTCTCAGGAAGACACAGGTCAAGAGGTCATCTGATATCTTGTGGGGGGAGAAGCTTGGCTCATGTGGGTTTGCAATACAACGAGTCTTTGTCTCGACATCTGGCATGCATTAAAGGAAAACCCGCGTGTTTTAGGGCCCTCCTCTTCTTCATGTATAGATGTGTTCTTGGCGCTTTTGTCTTCAGAGTTGGCTGATATCTTACATGAGAACTGTAGTATACTGTGATCTCTCCGGCCGTCTGTCTCTCAATAAATATCAGTGTATTGACAGGCGAATCCAGTTTCCCTCATTTGATGATTGGCTCAACATTGCTGCAAAGAAGTTTTTACTTCACACTACCCATGTCTGTAAACAAACGTATTCAAATAAACTACCTTCATTTAATATTCAGCAATAATAATATCTCGACGTCTATAGTTGTAGTGTTGAAATCAGTAGGTTTCGGTGTGCAACACTCCGTGTCATATCGCTACTAAATTCACCTCTATAGTAAATGGTATATTAGCCACATGCTATATGCTAACCGGAGATGAAGGATTTTCAGAATAAAAGCTTAACAACTTGTTGTGCACAAGAACTTCTGGTTTTTCAGTATAAAACAGCATTTAAACTGACGGTATGTTTAAGGTACTTTATGCCATCAAAACATTGATTTTAATTTCTAACAAGTCCCATTCAAATCCCCCGTGTTCCGCCACCTGCTGCACCTTTTAATTCTCCATTGTCCATTGTGATACTGCACTTTATGTACTTACGTTTCAAAGGCCTGTAAGCTACAGTTTGCACTGTTTCAATAAATGAAACTAATTTTCTCACAATATATATATATATATACATATATATAATTGATGCTTTCAGTTTTCAGTTGAATTAATTCAATCCAAGTCAATGGAACACTCACAAGATGTCACCAAAATCACACTGTCCCTTTAAAATCTTTCAGAAAATGATATAAGTGTATCGAATTGTATCGAATCGTATCGTTGGCTGAATATCGTGATATATATCGTATTGTGAGCTGAATATCGTGTATCGTATCGTATCGTGAGATTAGTGTATCGCTACAGCCCTACTCAGGATACATGCTTTGTTGACTGCTAATAGTATCATGTAGCTGACTTAGCGCCGCGCTAGCATTGGCATCTGGTGGAATATATACTGCAGTTATCAATACAACATTGAACTCCCTCGGAAGGTATCTAGGTCGGCATTTAACAGTCATAAATTCTAGGTTCGGGAACAGAGGTTACTCACAGTGATTGTGCCCCAATAATCCTTAGTGTATATAATGAGGCCACCACCTCACGTTTTCCCCAACAATTCTCGGGTCCTGTCTAGTCTATGGGAGGTGTGGTCAGCTAGCTCGATCCAATGGAGCTTTCCTAGATGGTTTGGTGAATCAAACCATCTGAGTCAGGTTAGTAATGCTCACATGTTTTACATCTATTACAGGGTGAGTCTGAAACTGAAGCTTGACTTTAAAGCAACCCAACGGAAGTTTCATGTAAGTTTAGTTCTTTCTCTCGTAGCTCGGTCTGCAGGGGTGCTAGAGACGGGAGCACGTTGATACGACCTTCCTAGCTGGAGATATCTGTCAGAAAGATCGCAATTAGATTATTTCCCGAAATCATGCAGCCCTACTTTACATCTGTGACTGTGTCTGTTCTGCAGTACTGCAAAGCTACCTGGTACAAGTGTTTGTCAACAGCTTTAAAATCAAAACTGCTCCACCTGTTAATAATCTGCTCAAAGATTGTTGGTCCACCCTGTCAGAGACTTCCTGACCATAATAACCTGAGAGGCTGTCCAACAACATCACCTGGGACCCAAAGCATGCTCTGAACAGAGAATATGAACTGCTGCCATCTAATGGAGATTCAATAAAGTCAGACTGAAGCCGCCTTTGTGCTCCAGTCAGTCCTCTCAGTAAACACAGAGCTGAATCCAGATCAAAAGCACGCTGAAGGCTCTTTGAGCAGGTTGTCTCTCGCTGATCCTGCTGTTATGTTACATGTTTGTTTTTCATGTATTGTGTCTTGATATTAGTTTATGTTGATGTTACACATGGAGCTGCTGTTACACTATGCAAGTCACATTTCAGACCTGATCCGACCAATAAAGTGTTATCGTGTCGTAATGTACAACAACGTTCTAACCTATATCTGACCATATTGTGTATTCATATGGTATTTTCTAAACAGGTTGTGATCTTTCATTTGGGGATAACAGTGTTAGGAATATATTGTGATGAAGTGCACACTGACCTGAGCTCCAGGGGTCTTTTTATTCTCCTCCATGCTGCTCTCAGTGCTCCTTCTCCGGCTGTGTCTCTGAAATAATCAACACAACTACAGCTGACACAAAACAAGACAACTCAATACAACCGACAGACACAACTAAACATATCTACAGCTACTTCGTAGGGTCATAGCAGAGGTGAGAAGTAACTAAGTACATTTACTCAAGAACTGTACTTAAGTACCATTTAGGAGGTACTTTTACTTTACTTGAGTATTTCTATTTAATGCTACTTTGTACATTTAGAACAGTTCAGAGATAAATGGTACTTTTACTCCACTACATGCATTGAATACCTTTAGTTACTTCACAGATCTGGATGAATGATGTGAAATATAATCAAGTGTTAAATCAGACTAGTTCCACCTGGAGTAAATTCACACACACACACACACACACACACAACACACACACACACACACACACACACACACACACACACACACACACACACACACACCACACACAGCACACACACACACACACACACACAGCAACCACACACACAACACACACCACACACACACACACACACACACACACACACACACCACACACACACCCACACACATCACACACACACACACACACACACACACACACACACACACACACACACCACACACACCACACACACACACCACACACACCACACACACACACACACACACAACACACACACACACACACACACACACACACACCACACACACACACCACACACACATACACACACACAACACACACACACACACACACACACACACAAACACAAATATCTATGTTACCTCTCTCTCCTCTTCGTCCTGGTTCCTCAGTCTTTCTTCTCCTTGATAAAACACTGCCGTTAAAACACACTAATCTCCCTTTAATGCCTTTACTTGTGTTTACCGATCAGCCACGTGGTATACAAAGCTACGAACAAAGAACGGGAGGCAACAAAAACACGGTTTAACGGACAAAAGCACGGATAAATCACCGTCCAAGGATAAACTAGCTCATTGTATGTGTTTTAAAAGTCTCTTAAACACATTACATTCGGTATAACATCTGCATCAACGTCTGTTAGCAACGTGTAGCTTCTGAGGACCGGAAGCTAGAAACGAACGGCCGCAATGCATCATGGGATTAGAGTTGTTCTTTTAAACATCATTTCACTACCCCCTCTGGTGAAAACATTGAAAACACTATCGCTATTAAAATAAATAATAATTACAATATTAATAATAATAATATATATGTAAAGATGAAACGGTCAGACGGGTTTTAAAAGTTGTGGAAAATGTTTTTGTTTGTAATAATACTTCTTTATAATGATTGATCAAGTGTTCTCAAAGCTGGTAAAGATGCAGCTAGTTTGAATGACTTTGTATTCTGAGGGACAAAACAAGAATTGGACAAAAAAAAAAATAATAATAATAATAACAACATTTCATTAGGAATTACAAATAAAAATAGTTAAATACAATAATAATAAAAGATTTAATAATCTTGGAAAAAATAATTAGTTTTTTGTGATTGAAAACACTATTATTAATATAATAGTGTTTTCAAATATAATAAAATAAGAAGTAAAATAAGAAAAAAGAAAAAAAAGTAAGAATAAAATAATGTAAAAAGAAAAAAATAATTGAAATAAGAAAATAATAATTAAATATATATCAAATAAAAAAATATAATTTATAATGAAATCACAAAAACTAACTTGAAAAAAATATAAAGAAATGTTTATTTTTTACTAAAGCAAGAATGATACAATTAAGAATTAAATACATTATTTTTTTCAACTATTCTTATATTATATATATGTATTATAATATATTTATATTGAAAGCAATGCATCATGAGATTTTAGTATTTATTTTCAACAGCAATTCACGGTATTAAAATAAATAATAATAACAATAATAATAATAATAATACAAATAAAAATAATAATAATAATAATAATACATATAAATATGGGACTGGGATGACAGATTTTAAACATTGGGGGAAAAAATGTGTTTCTGATAATACATTTTTTTAATTATATATGTTTTATAATGATTGATCATGAAAGTGTTCTCAAAGCTGGTAAAGGTGCAGCTAGTCTGAATGACTTTGTATACTGCAGGGTAGCTGGTGGATTTACTCCAGGTGGAACTAAAGTCTGATTCAACACTTGATTATATTTCACATCATTCATCCAGATCTGTTAAGTAACTAAAGGTATTAAATACATGTAGTGGAGTAAAAGTACACCATGTACCTCTGAACTGGAGTGGAGTAGAAGTACAAGGTAGCTAAAGTAAAGTCCAAGTTTCTCCAAATTGTACTTACAGTACGTACAGTACTTGAGTAAATGTACTTAGTTACTTTACACCTCTTTTAAAGATAAATTCTAAAATGATCATAAAATCACTAAATAGGATGTAATTGCATTTTTGGTTTAGATATACGTATTTACTCATTTTTACGAAATGATGGCTTGTCAGAAAGCGTTTCCAATCACCAACAGAAATGTGACCTTGCTTTTTTGCTGAATTTGAAACTCATTGGGCCTACTTACATCCAAAGTCTGTGTACTCTCTCTCATATTCTGTTTTTAAAACTAGTGAATGGGAAAAAGGAACGGCAAAGGTTTTTTTAGTTTTTAGTCTTTACCTTAATGACCCAAATATCTTTGAGTGAGAGGAGGGAGGGACCTCTCGGAAGTAATTTACAAACAAAGCCTTCGTCTGGTAAAAGACCCTCGATGACAGAGGAAGGTTTTGGCTATTGATAAGAAGAGCCTTAAAGAGGGCGGGATCAGAGATTAGTCAAAGATATTCAAGACAGATTTTGAAAACAGAAAATGAACGAATATAGCTGAAGGCAAAAGATATGAACAGATGTATCAGAAAACAGATCCTATCTCCATATCCAATGAACTCTGGAAAAAGTGGTGTTTTAAACTATAAAAACCAGGACAGGGGAATGAACCGTGGGCTCCGCAAACAGAACCAATTCTTAGAGCTCTAGTTCACGATGAAGTGTTTTAGATATATGAAAACACAGGTGTTGTCTGACAATAAACGCACCAAAGAAAGCTGTTTTAACCTTGTGAACACCATGAAATAGTGACGTTGTGTGGCACTACTTTTGATTGAACTGTCAATAGTAAAGCCTTAACACAGATGTGTTGGGTGGTGAACCCCAGGCAGACCCTGCATGTAAACCAATTCTTAGACCACTAGACCATTATGAAGAACTCTGTATGACCAAAAAAACAGATCTTGTTATTACCTTGTCATGAAAAACACTGGTGAAAAGCGACGTTTTCAACTATAAATGCTTGGAAAATGCACATTAGACACACAATACATTTGAACTTGAAAACATGTTGAAATATAGTATTGTGGCACTGCTTTTTACATTACTGAACTATGTTACGGTCCTTCTGCCTTCTATCTGCTCATTAATCTGTCTGTGAGTGTTTCCAGCTGGTGTGTGTGATATGTAAATGAGCTGTGCAGTAGCCCTGACATCATTGGCTGCCCATTCTCTGGTCCGCCCCTGAAGACTGCGATAGAGTGGCGAAGTCACGCCCCATCTACTTCCGCCCCATGGGACCTAATTTCTGAAAAATGATGCATTGAAGTCAATGGAGAGAGAAAGTTATCTTTCGATCCCGTTTGAATTGTGCCATGAATTACACATATGATGTTTGTCAATCAAACATCATATGTGTAATTCGTGGCACAATTCAAACTCATCTTTCTCTCTCCATTGAATTCAATACATACTTTTTTCGAAATAAGGTCCCATGGAGGTCCACCGGAAGGGGAGGGACTTCGCCTCTCTATAGGAGCTGATGGACCCGACGTCCTCCAATCCCTGCACACATCCAGCGCACACCTTCGATGAGAGGACTACAAAGCCGGTCGACTGTGATCACTCTGGAGGCTCTGTTGTGTGAACAGACGTCTCTCGCTACTTGCCTCTTCGTTCGTGTATAAATCGGTTAACAGTGGTTAACTTGTGTGGTCTGTTTGGTCTGTGTTTGGTATGTTGATGTGATTAGATGTGACTAGACGTACTTAGCCTTTACGTTGGCTGTAGTATTTAGTTTAGCTGTGGTTTTCTTCTTTACATTAGTTTGTACCACTGATAGTGAGGTTATTATGTTTATTATGTATATTCCTTTGTAGTTAAGTAGGCCTCATTTAATAGAGTCCCCCCTTTAGAGTCCTCCTTTTGTTGGCTCATTAGATATATCTGTGCCTTTGGCCGCTTTGGTTTGCTCCTGGCTGCTTGTCTCCCCTTTGTTAACTTTGTGGTGTAAATAAATGCTTGAACGTTACCAATTCCATATTGGTGTATGTACCCTTTCCTCTACCCTAAGGGGGACGTAACAACTGTCAAATTATTAAACCCTTAAAGGTGGGGTAGTTAATTTCGGAGAAACCAGCTCGAGCATGCTAGATCTGCCACTTATAGTGTCGAAATCAGGCCCATCTACTTCCGGTCCATGGGACCTTATTCCGGAAAAATAATGTATTGAAGTCAATGGAGAGAGAAACTTATCTTTCGATCCCGTTTGAATTGTGCCAGGAATTACACATATGATGTTTGTCAATCTTAAAAAATAATTTCCATTTCAAAAAAAGTCAGTTTGTCGTAAAACTGTTGAAATATAAGAACTATGAAAAATATGCAACTACAAAGACTACAAATCCCAAAGTCGCTTAAGTGATGTCATAACTGTTTTCCTCCACTAGAGATAGCTAAGATCAGCACCATATAGACAGAATCTATCTATATGGCGCTGGATAAGATAACTTTAACAAGATGCCTGTGTGCTTAGTACCAAGTTGTTATCATACCAGCAATGGGTCTTGGTCGTTCTTTCGCTTCCCGTCTGATGAAAGGACCAGGAGTGTCTGGATCAAGTTAGCTACCTAGCTAGTAGCTAGCACGTTAGTTAGCATTAACCGTAATCTTTCAGCAGTGTCATTTGTATTAGCCTTAACATGAAGTAACTGAAGTAACCCAACATGTTAAACAGTAAGAGTAGTAGTCATATTTCGTGAACCCTCTGAAGAGTACTGTCACAACCGGTGTGATCATTCTATAATACACAATTTAAGCCCGGGGGATAAATGCTAACGCTACAATTAGCATCTGCGATATTTTTCTACTTCACACGCGATCTGCACAAATGGTTGACATTAAACATTAAAAAAGACCAGGCAGTTCAGAGAGATCAAAGGAAGGCAGACAGGCAGTTTTTTCTGATATTCTTCTGGACGTGTTAATTGTGCTGATAGTGAGGGTAGACAACCCTCGTTGACAGACTTTTGTTGACAGTAGTGACGGCCATCTTGATGACGTGTTTTTCTGCTAGACCGGAGATGTAGTTCATTCAGCGTTTCACACAAACAAATGTGTACTTCACAGTTTACGACACATTTTAATTGTTTTGGACTTGCAAAATTAATCTTTTAAATTGACAAACATCATATGTGTAATTCGTGGCACAATTCAAACACGAGATCGAAAGATAATCTTTCTCTCTTCCATTGACTTCAATACATAATTTTTCCGAAATAAGGGTCCCATGGAGCTCCACCGGAAGGGGAGGGACTTCGCCACTCTATAGAGCCCCTCCCCCTGAACACCAAACGAACGCGCACATGACCAATGAGGGCACGAGATAATTTGTGCACAGATGGAAAGCTGACAGGCAGGTAGGTATGGAGTCAGATTTGGGTCAATATTCTAGCGCGTAAAACAAGCTACTCACGAGCGGAAAATGTGCTTTTACACGCGCATAAAAGATTAAACCCCCGCGAGCGGCTCTGCGCTCGCTCGCGAGAGAGACAGCCCTCTTGCTCGCTCGCGAGAGTATCAGCCTGGTGGAGTCTGTCTACGCGCGCGTGAAAAAGTTTTTGGCACTTTGGGGGCGGAGCCACTGGACTTTGATTGACAGCTGGCCAGGAAACCCGGAGATTGCCAGGTTTGATAATGCCGGAACTACCAGAGCCGAGGAGTGACGGCAGCAAAATCAGTTGGACGAGATTGAATGGTAAAGTTTGTCCATAAAAAACTATTATATTCGTAAAGTGTACAGCTAATATATATATATTTATATATAAAT